TGAAAGTTTCACTAATATTAAAACGAATATTATTCTAATTTTTACAGGATTTTTGTATTTTCACTACAATTTTAAATTGATTGTGTTTGTATTAAAAAAGAACTAAGTAATTATGCATCAAAATTGATGTAAAAATAAAATAATTTAAATGGTTTCATCTGTACCAAATCTAATAAAATTTATTTTATTTTCCTAACTCACGAATGATTTCAGTTCGAAAAAAAATTGCCGTTAAATTTGCTTTTAGCATGCACAATTGGAAAAGTTCCAACTGTTCAAAAACATGTTTCTATAATTCTAAGACAATAGTTCACATGTAGAATAAGCGATTTTAATTTAATTGAAAATTCAAATGGAACTGAAAAAAAAGATTGAAAAACAATTAACATGCTAGGTTTGATTATAATGATTGAATTAAAAAAAAAAACAAGTTGACAGAAAGCATTAAATTCCCTTTAAACTTTTGTGATTTGTGATTCTCTCGTAATACCATACTTAACAAAGGAATACAATTAGCCGTTTCGACATTTTACATTGCAATCATCAGTTTTTATAAAATACTACTCCTGAGTTTAGTAATTGTACACGACGTTTCAATATGATACTCTCGAGAGTTTTAAAATCAACTGATTATAGATCTTGAAGACCTTTTTCATTTATTTCAATCTAAAGAGGGGGTGGAAAAAATAGTTTTCCAAAAAAAACGCCTGTCTCCACTGTACGTCTGAAGTGACCGTTAAAAATAGAGAAAAAACGTTTTTAGGCCTACATCGTTAGTTGACATCATGTTAATCTTACTGAAAACAATTAATCGTCGAACTGAGCACAGCCGTTAGCAGTCTGACTGAGCTCACATTGAAAGGTCCGGATCTATTCAATAAAGCAGACAATTTGAAAGGTTAACGTGTTTTATGAGGAATTTTTTAAAGAATTTGAAATGGTTACATAGCATCACGCTTAACAGTTAAATACCACCCAAGGGAGGTAACCTAGTTTAATAATAACTTTACAGACTACATTAGTTTGAATTAACCGTTGAGTTAGAATGAAGTTGAACAGCCGACGAGAAAAGCTTGTATTACTACATTCAAAATATAGCCAATGATATAGGGGAGACAACTGCAATTAAAGTAAGTTCTGATAAAGCCAGACAACAATAATATTCTCTCGCCACTGAATTTCTAACGGTGTCGTCAAGGGATCAAACACGACCAGGTATATTTTTCTTAAACTTTAATTTGCATTTTTTATTATCACCAATAGCTCAATAGATGTTCTAGACACCTGATACCACTTTTCATTATGAAATACTAAATCACTTATGATTGAAAAATACGAAGGTAGAAAGTTCACCTGAACCCGATTTAAAGCAGACAAAAAAAAAAAAAAAAAAAAATTTCTACTGTCTTCGAACACGGTTAATCTATTTCTACCGATTATAAGAATTCTAAAACTATCGGTTCTGTTTTGAAATAACTCAAAACCTCTCCCAAAAACAGAAAATTTGATTTAACGACGAAAATGATAAGACAATAGATCTGCATATGAACAAGATTGCCATTACGTTAAACAATTACCCCAGCACGTGTACAAGCACATGCGTATCATTGTAGAAGATCGTATATTACTACTATATTTCACAAGACTGTTGATCTATAAAACGGGTATACTGTGTGGTATACATTCGAGTCTAATGACAAAAAAAGAGTAAACAGTCCCGACTTTTTATTTTTGACATTTCGTTGAGAAAAGTTATTTTGTCGAAGTTTTTCGTCGATTATCATTGTCGATTTAAAACACTGGGTGTAAAAAGTCGTGTTGTTTTTAGAGAGGAAAGGTTGGCAAATCACTTGTAATGATAAGAATTTAGCATCTTCTACAATCGCAACAGTTACATATTTCTATGCGAATGATATACCTCTAATGAGTAAATTGAAATGGATTTGAGATCCACTAAAATAAGTGAACACCTTATGCCATTTTGCGCTTAGGTTTTTCAACTCTGTGCCCATTTCAGGGAATCCAAACATGGCTATTTTTAATGCTGTTAGTGTTTTTTATCATGCAGAACTCCTGGGAAATCTGACATTAGTGGATTGAAAATATCTTTGATTATTTCTATGCTTTTTAATTACGAAAACATATAATTTCTTAGCTTATAATTGGGCGTATTTTACCTTGCCTCGACAGCCATTTTCTTTTCTTTCAACTGAAAGTGTCCGAGGTATAAGAAAACGACTCACGCTTAAGATTGTGGAGTAAAATATCTTATTAATTTACCTTGACTATACCAAGTGAAGTTTTGACTGGAGGTAATTTTTGTCTAATGATTATCGCCCTTGTGTTTGCTCAGCTGTTAAGACGCCATGTGATAAAACAACCGCTAGATGGCAACACTAATCATGTCAGAATTAAGTTGCGATCAGTTGGTTAGTTCGGGTATGATGAGGCGGGAATGATGAGACGGGTATGATGAGACGGGGGTAATGGGGTATTTTGAGAAGGTGAAAACAAACATAAACAATTAGAGATAAATTATTTACTGGAATTAATCAGTTGATATATTTCTACTGTTACAACCCATTAAAATATTTCTAGTTCAATTTATTCAGGGCGGGAAACTAACCAAGTCGTTTGGCGTTGATTGTTGGGGAAAATCTATAGATTCCGAATTATTACCTGTTGTGAGCAAAGGCCCTTAAATAATATTAGAAGCTTTTTCGATAGAGACGTTAAATTTTAGTGGAATTGCAGGAACCAAAGACATCTGACTGGAATTGGAAACGGTTAAATAAATGATATCAGTGTCCCCGATACACATAAATAGTTTATAAAACCTTTAAAACATCCCTTCACAAAATAAAGAAAAAGATTTGCTACTCAAATATTCAGTTATTTTTGCAGAAAAAACCTATAAAAGATACAAAATTATTGTAACTTTATGATAATCTAATGAAATTGGAAATTATTCCATTTTGATTCCACGGAAATCTTATTTAAAGTCATACATTTACAACTTACAAAATGAAGAAAATTCAAGTGCTTTCTATGCAGTCCGCGCTATAACAATTATTTTAATTTCACAATTGGTTATTATTGGGGATTATAAGATAAGATAAAATATTGAGTTTTTCATTAAAGAAATAGAAATAACTCTATACTGTTTAATTATATCAATGGTAAAATAATCGTTAAAATTCTTTATATTAAGAGTGTTCAATAATAGAAATATTTTTTTTTTTTTGAGTGAAATTGTATGAAATTAAATAAAACAGCGACGAGTTGACAACAATTTTAATATTGATTACAATTTTCTTAGTTTATTTGTTTTAGAAGATTCTTTTTCAACCACAGTTGTATCGGTTGTTGATCAGCCCTTGACGGCACGACCCGTGGATGGTCATGGTCGTGGTGGTAGGGGGTGGGGGGTTTGGTCAACTTAATATGGTTAAACCCCCACAGCCCTATTAGTATAAGTTTACTATTCATACATACGATAGATTCGTTTAAAATTCAGAATCTTAAATATTTGAAATAAATGCTATGTGGACTCTCTGAAAGTGATGCCGACTTGTCAAAGAAATTCAGTTTACCAGTAGATTTAGCATACCCTCCCTCGGTAGTGGCATTGCTTTTGGAACCTAAATATTACAATTTTTTCAAACTCAATTTGTTATTTTACCATGAAATCAGATTTTTAGTTGTTACATTTAGATATTCTAGAATGGAAATAAAAAAAGCATAGCCGTTAAACACCAAATCATTCCAAGACACCAGAACCCTGTTTCATAAAAAATAGGACAAACAATTTTGTCGTAAGCTTAGTTTTTCTCATCGTAAAAATTCTACACTTACGAAAAATTCTGATAGTAGTAAAGTTTTTTGAAGAACGGTGACAGGATTCCACTGTCCACGATATGATAGATAATAAGTGGTCAGTGAAACAGTCGCGGAATATTTCGCTCGGAACAATCTCGTTATAGATATCAGCCCCACTCCAACCAATTGAATACGATGGTTAACAATCGAGTAGGCGTGAGTTAAACATAGTATGTCACATTCAACTTGTAAAAAATATTTACTGTATCGTTCGTGTACTGACGAGAGCGAGAGATATGTAAAGGGGCGTGTCTAGTAGGCGTGGTCTAATGTCAATCTGGGCGGGTGTTATAACAGTGTTATACTGACAGTATTTTGATATTAAACTCGAATTGAGAGTGTTATAATTTATAACAATGTGTTACTAAGTTAATATTTCACTTTATACAACACAATAGTGAGTTATTATACTAGCGCTAGTGATATATCGGGTGTTATACACCGGTCTGGAAGAACGTCGCCTGGAATATTGGTACTGATCTTGGACTGTGGCTGGAAACGAAGTGGAATTTTGAAGATTGGTTTGATATATGAGGGAAGACGCTCAACTAACTCAAGGATAGTTTAGGACTAACTGATATATCATGTGATTTCAAAAAGTTGCTATTTATTGGAACCATCAGAAAGGTGACAGTGGACTTTTATTGATCTATTGCTGCTAGTGAATGGATACATGCAATAATTTTATAACAGTTTCGTTTGAAAAATTGAAACATTGTAACAATATTTATAACTTTGATGAACGATCCCGAGGCTACATTGTGTAAAGTGTTAAATTACATTTAGGAAAAGAAAAAAGTAATAGTTTCTGAAATGACGATTTTTTCATGAAAAGAAAATATTTCACCATTTAAAACAAAGTTAAACCTTGGCGTCAGTAACAGATAAAAAACATGCTGGAGTAAATATACTGCAACAAAGTTAAACAAAGTGTGACAAGTTAATTTCTATCAAAAATAATCACTCAAACAAAGTAAGATACTGTATTGATTTTTAAAACAAAATTCTACTAAGTATGGAATTGCTTATCTTAGTTTAACTTTATGATATCTAGTGCCGAAGTATTAGAACGACCAATGGCGATGAATCCCTTACTTTATCCAGTGACTGAAAAGGGAACCAGGAAACCCAAATGTGCTCGCTGCCGGAATCATGGGATGGTATCGTGGTTAAAAGGACATAAACGACACTGCGGTTTTAAAGACTGCGATTGTGCGAAATGTAATTTGATTGCGGAAAGACAGAGAGTGATGGCCGCACAGGTCGCACTCAAACGCCAACAAGCCGCAGAAGACGCGATAGCGATGGGTATCAGGGCTTGTGTCAGTGAAACGGGGTTGCCTATTATGACAGCCGGACCCCTCTGGGGGCCGGGGACGGTATCCGCACCCCACATGGACAAAGAAATGAAAAATAAATCGGATGACTCCGAAGACGAAGATGGTAGGTGAAACTTAAATTATATTTCTTTCGAAATCTCAGAAAATTTAGAAATTTGCGAACTTTTAATTCTGAAATATTTATTTCTTTATACAGAGAGATGATAAACTAAATATTACCTTACAACAATACATGTTTCATTCTACACTAATTTCATCATTATAACATCTTCATGTTTGTAAGAGTGAATTCATCATTATTCTAAATTTTTGCTAAAAGCTTAAGAAGACTGAATGTTGCTCTTGTATTTAATATTTATGATAATGGCAAACTCAAATTCATTCTATAAATAAAATAATTGAACCGATACATAATTCCTAACCATTTAACAGAATAAAAGTAGAATGTCACTCGAACAGATAGAAGGAAAGACAATAAGTCAACAGAAATGGATCAAAAGACAAATCAAAATCTATGTTCGTAGTCCGGGGTCGACGCTTTCTGGAAACGAAATTTCTTCTGCTTTCTGAAATTGAAACATTGTTGCAAATTTTAAAATTTTAAATCAGTGAAAATTGAGAATATCTATTCTTAATAACAATATTTACAATTATTTACCATTTGATGCAAATTTAATTTATTTCATTTTTTATTAAAAATATTGTTTTAGGTGTAAAATAGTTTCATTTTTCATTTCATTTTTAAATAAAGAATGTTAGAAATCAAAATTTAAACAAAGCTTTGAATAATCTCTTTACATGTATTTGTTTTGTGAATTATTACATAGTTGAAGATTTGAATAAATTAACATATAATTTGCATAAATTGCCGTTTTGAATTTATAAGAAAATATTATATACAGAATTATCCCTTACGTTAATAATCAAATGAAAAAAATAACAGAATATATTAATGTTAAATTATCTGACTGTAGATTGGTTCAAATTATTTCTGAGGTATGAATATTGATACTAAAAAAAAAAAACTTACATCGATAAACGCCGGTTAAGTTTTTCTTTTTTCAAACAATCCGTTTATACAATTGATGCAATATTTAAAAATTGGTTAACATTTCATTTAGAGATTATGGTGGTTGAAAAGAAACCAGTTACAAACAACTAGTCACTATTCAACAGAAGGCACTGGCAAAGGATTAAAGTTGTGTTTAAAAAATGTTTTCATATTAATATAAATTTCATTTTAGTGTCATAATTCAAGCAATAAACAAAGTATTAATGTTTTCAAATAAGATATTCTCATTCCAGGCTCTGAGTAAAAATTATTGAGAAGAGAGAAATTTCTTTATACTATAAACTTAAAGACGACGAGGAAAAACTCTAGTTTTAACGCACTAACATTTCTTTTCAGCTATTCTTATTCCATGCTCTTAACCAAATTTGGTTCAAGATTCGTAAGAATTTATTAATATTGGTGGATACTTAAACCCCCCAAAAAACCTATTTATTTAGTCGATGTTTCAGGAATTAGATTCATGTTTGTTCATAAATAATTTCATTGAATTTTTCGAGGGAATACCATGTATTTCCAATTACTTGTTGGCAGTAAAATTTCAACAAATCGTCCTCTGAGAAACCTTATGCATGTCATAAAAGTATTTGACCGATTTGTAAAACTTGTAAGGCGTGTTTTTCAGATCTAACTGGAAAAATAAAATCTTTTTTTGTGGTCCTTAAACGTCATGAGCTCAAACCAAAAGTTATTTCCCAACAATTGGCAGAGTTTAAAGTGATCAAAGTCGAGTTTATTACAGTGAAATAGAGAAGATTTTCAATAAAAACTTTTACCTTCTACTTGAAGCTGATAATCTTAAAAATAAATAGAGTGTTATACAGATTAAAAATATCATTTTTCTTTCTTGTATTTTCTTTCCTTTCGATATAATATAATACAATTTACAACTTAAACATTATTGACGTATTCTGCAAAAGATAAATCCGAGTTGCCAAACATAAGTATCAAAAATTATAGCCTTGTAGACTCTCCAAAAGGGTACCGAGATGGATACCCTAAAATCCCCGATAAACCATTGATGAGAATATATTTCATTTTTACAGGTAGACGGAGTCGGGTGAGACGTAAGTAAGACGCTTGCTCTAAAACCTCTTATATTAGGGGTTTGACTTCCTATCCGACAGTTGAATACTCAAACCGTAATCCGAATGCCCTATTTCTAACATAACTCAGTTACAAAAGTCATCCACAGACAACATCATAATATAGACTTAAAAATAAAATATCAGAAACGGTATGAGACAAAGTGACGTTATTACGCCATCGTTATTTAATATAAATATACGTGACCTTTGTGTTTGTTTCTAAATGAAAAGTTCATCAAAAATTTATCAAAGAAAGCAAAATGTCTGATTAAAATTTGCCGAATGTAATTTTCTTTGTAGAGAAATTTAAATTGCCTCTAGCTTCCTTCTTTCTTTAAATTTACCAAATAAATCTTCATTAAAACGTGTCAAAATTTGTAAATATTGACAACATTAGCGACTTCGTCAAATTATGTTAATATACTGTTATTGTTTAACAAGGTAATATTTCGGCGCTCACATTTCAGGATGAAAACAATAACGAAATTTGCCTTGAAAAGAAATTAAAAGTTATTTTTTGTTGCATTATTTTGGTTACAATAGTTTTGCTAAAATTTTTCTTAACCACACACAATTATTTAGTTAATTTGTATCATACTTAAAAAAAAAATTTCAGAACAATCACATTGCCATTAGTCGAAATATATAACTGCCAATTTCTGAATTTTTGGAATGATTTGGATATAACGTGCCCTTTTGAATGATCTATCGACTTTGAATTTGAAATTTTGAATTGTAAGGACCCACACTATTTTCACTACAATGTGACTTCTCTAATGTTTTTCCATAGTAATCTATAATTGATTTAAGCCATTTACCAATAATTTGAAGAATCATAATTTCATAGTGTAAAGCATCAACAGTATTATTCTCTTACATTTTAAAGTTAGAGGTACAATTTTCTATGCCAATCCACGACGCGGCACAAATTTTGATAGTGTAAAGAATTAAACGGTTGAAAAGAAAACTGCAGTTGAATATGACACCGTGAAAGAGGCGATTGTTAAACCCCATAAATATACAAATAATACAACGGTGTTTATTGTTTTAGCTACCCTACTCTTACACTCTGGTTCAGCCGGTGTTTATTATCTTACCTACCCTACACTAGAGTCCGGGCTGTGCTATGAAATTTTGTTATAGTTAACATATGTAATATTATATGCACGGTGAAAACCACCCTCAACGATTTGTATTTAAGACACACCGTACAAATTGACTGTTAACGATAGATTTCATGGAAAATATATTATAATTGTCATTTCGAAGCAACCGATTAATTTCTGCAATGTAATAATTAACTGTTGCATCGGTAGACTATATTTTGGGTATTTTGTGACAGTTTGGAGACGCCAATAAATTAAAATATATATGCCTTCCGATAAAGAGAACAATTTTCAAATTGTTATAAATAATATAATGTTGATGAATCAACCCCCTCCCCCCAACCCCAGCACCCGAACTACAAACCAAAGTTTTACCAATATTAATTGACTATTGCCGTTTCATTTCAATTGCAAGCTTCATCAGTTGTGTGTGTAAATTGGTTTTCTTCACGACTCTGTTTTGATGGTTTCGAAAGCTCTTTCACCTGATGATTTTCATTTAAAAAATACCATATTCATCATAAATTCTTATTTTCTATATCTATATATACATACAAAATGACCCCAAGTGATTGTTGTTAGTTCCATCGTTACCCCCTTGACTTCAATTTCAAATTTCGACTATTCAACTTCAACACCGTTTGTGGAACACTTCAAGGGGGTACAAATAAAGTCAACACCGCTCTGGGCAAAAAGTAACGAGTTTAGTTTGTCTTTGATATGCCACCTTGAAACACTCGGCCCAGTGTAGATACTAATTGTATCTTCTTTACTTAACATTCTTCTGTTGAAATAATATCTCGCCTGAAACCACGTTTCTCTGTAATGATTTTCACTAAGCAGACGAGAGAATTTAAACGATTGTCATCCTCAAAACAACCACAGCCCCAATTCTATAATCATTTCAATAATGTGAAGATCGATTGCACTGTTTTTATTATCTTTCTCACCTATTGCTAAAATAATATCTTAAACAAAATTAAACACGAAACAGAAAGCAATTAAATTTGAGAAGGTGTTTAAATAATTTACTATACGCTAAGCACAGGATTGATTCCAAAAACTAGGATGGGCACTGTGGACGATTAATACCACGATACTAGCAGAATTTTTACATGCTTAGGGACACCGAAAGATGGACTTATCCTAAGTTTCCTTTTTCTTTGAAAAACGTTGATAATCAATTATACTCTAATAATATAGACAAACCATAACAAATATTTATCATTGGACCACTATGTAACCTAGTTTTAAATATTTATTTTAATTTTTGTATCGTTTCAATATGAAAATTCTAACGAGTTGGCAAGAAGGGTGTGGTGATGATTTCATTTCAACTCTAAATATATATAATATCTTAACTAATATTCATATTCATATTTCTTCATCTCAAATCGTGCAAACATTTTAATTGCTTTCTAATTTCTACAGGTTTTAATATAAATACATATAACATGTATTCGTAAATTAATGAATACATTTTTCCAACTCCATTTGAAAAAGATTGCATATGAACAAATTAAAAAAAAAAGAAAAAAAAGAAGAAGAAGAAACAAAAAAAGATGAGCAATCAAACAACTGATTTTGTAATTTTATCCAAAAAAAAATGAATCCCAATTAAAGGCGAAAATTCCTAGAAAGAATACCTAGTACGTGGTATACAAATTAGTCTCGTCAAGTCTCGCGAGA